TCGACTGTCGCTTTTTTTCTGCGTCTTATTGATGAATCCAGGATTCGTCACCTGTCACAATATCGTAAACGCGCCGTGACGAGCCTGCATCAATTTTTTGTATCATATCACTGCGCTAATCCACACGAGCCTGCTTCTGAGCTTCGGTGAGGTTGTGCAGCACCCAGCGGGAAACTATCCTCCTTTACTTATAGATTTTGCACGAACCAATCTGCAAAATATGTTGAATCGCTTCGTACGTAATTCGTCGGTTTACTTGAATTATTTTTTTTACTGCCAGCACACTTTCTTCGGTGACAGCCATTTTAGGACGATCACAGCCGTTCTTAAGGTCACAACCTTCAGCCGTTTCTCTATCCCACAGATCTCCTTCATAAATGTTGTAAGGTACTAACAGTTAGCCAATTGTCTTATAGACAATATCGTTGTATATTAACGGTTAGTACCTTACAAGATGTAATACTTGCATTATATGCACACAGTAATTAAGCAGCATGCCGCACACCCATACAACCCTGATATTACTAATAAAAGACGAAAGGATCTAGCTTACTCTCAAAAAATATTTACTAAACATGCATTCTCCTCTAGATTTTACCTATTTCAAGGTCCATATTTGTACAACAGCTTGAATTGAAAACTGAATATTTATCAACTGAATATTAAAACCACCAAAGTAATCCTACAAGAGACCCTTCAAATGATGCCACATGAAGATACAGAGAACTTGATGACCTTTTTAAAATAAAATGTGTTAAATTAGCATATTCATGTTTTTTTAATAAACATGAATATGCTTATTTTCAATTTGATTGAGTATATTTGTTTTTTGTTATTGTCTTTTTTTGATTGTGCTGTTTATTATTTAAAGTTGATTTATATTAAGATCTTTTTTGCCTGAAACACAGGAAAATCCAAATTCAGGCTATGTAGTTCTTACATTTATATGTAATAAATGATACTGAATAAAGATTATTATTATATTATTATTTATGGCCAGACTATATATTTATCAGAATACAACAGTGCCACGGTAATATTATCTATACAGTATTGTGACTCCGCCCTGTCCTTGAAAATAAATGCCTACAGCCGACGTGGCCGAGCGCTGCGTTAGCACGCGGTAGGGCCGCCCGCCTACAGTATTTTATGTAGTTTTGTTTTTAACGCTATTTTGTGCAGTCTACTTACCGCCTCCCGTAACGGCTAATGTAATGGATGTCTTCCTCGACAATTGTAGCGTTGTAATGCAATCATGTCCTGGTTATACTGTTATCTTAGGCGATTTTAATTTAAGTTTTATAAATTGGGGTAATGATAATACAAGTAATAGTGTCTTGGTTCCTTCTAATTATTCTTGTAACTTAGGATATCAATTAATTGATTTTTTGTCTCTAAACAATTTATTTCAGTTTAACAATGTGAAAAACTATAATAACAAGACTCTCGATTTGGTTTTGGGTAATTTTAATGATTTGAGTGTTACAGAATGTCAATGTCCACTCAGTAGGCTTGATAGACATCATCCAGCCTTAGAAATAAGTATCAATGTACCTTTACAGTCTCACCATTTCTTAAAAAGTAAAATGTTTGCCACATACAATTTCAAAAAAGCTGATTATAATGATGTTAATTTAAAGCTAAGTAAAATTCACTGGCTAGCGGAATTGGGTCAAGTGCAGGATGTCGACGCTGCAGTAACTAGGTTTTATGCCATCATTCAACAAACCATCGAAGAAAGTATACCCAAGACACATGCACGGAATCTTAAGTACCCGGTCTGGTTTACTCGTAGTTTAATAAGAATGATAAGAGAGAAACATAAAATACGTATAAAGTATAAAACTTATAAAAACCCTAGGGATCGTTTGGAGCTGCGACTTTGCAGTCACCGCGTAAGGTCTATTATGTCGACATGCTATAAAGAGTACGTCAAGGATATAGAAATGTCAATAAAGCACACCCCCAAGAAATTCTGGTCTTTTGTACGTCATACTAAGGGTAATTATGATGGTGTTCCTGAACAGATGCACTTAGGAGATAAAATTGCAGACAATGGTGTGGGAATATGTAATCTTTTTGCGGCACACTTCTCATCAGTGTTTTCCTTGCCAGATAATTCTGAGTTTGTTGATCTTGGTGATCAATATCCTCAAAACATTCTTAATAGTGTAGAAGTAACCGAACAGCAGGTTTACAATGTTCTTAAATCTATTGATGCTAGTAAGGGAGCCGGGCCAGATGGGATTCCCCCCCTATTTATCAAGAGAACTTCAAAGTTTTTGGCACTTCCTCTTAAACTTATTTTTGAAAAATCTGTCACATCAGGTATATTCCCCTCTGAGTGGAAGCGTTCTCATGTTATACCAATATTCAAAAAAGGCAATAAAGAGGATGTAACTAATTACCGACCCGTGTCAATCATAAGTCAATTTGCGAAAGTATTTGAACGTATTATTTATCCCACTCTAACAAATTATTTCAAAAACTTTATAACAGATTCTCAACATGGATTTTGTAGTGGTAAATCGACTGTCAGTAATTTGATGGATTATACAACGGAACTAATTAAGTCAGTTGATGGTCGTTTGCAGGTAGATTCTGTATACACCGATCTTTCCAGTGCATTTGACAAAGTAGACCATGGGATACTTCTATCAAAACTGAAAGCTTACGGTATTCATGGTGACCTTTTGCGGTGGATAAGTTCGTACTTAAAAGACAGAATCCAAAGCGTAACGGTACATGGATATAAATCAGATGATTATGTCTCAATTTCAGGTGTGCCTCAAGGCTCCCACCTCGGACCGATACTTTTCTTGGCGTTTATTAATGATATATCTGTTTCCATCAAATATAGCAAATTTTCGATTTTTGCTGACGACTTAAAACTATACAGAGTTGTAAACAATCAGGAAGACTCTTCCCTGTTGCAGAGGGATATCGATGCGGTGGTTGGGTGGTGTAATGCTAATAAGATGAAACTTAATCCGCAAAAATGCACTCATATAAAATTTACAAGAAAAGAGACTCCTTTTGCATCTTATTATAGTGTTTCTGACCATAGATTAAAAGAATCGTCCAATATCCGTGACCTTGGGGTGTTATTGGATTCAAAATTGAATTTTGTAGATCATATTGATAGTATTGTAACACAGTCTTGGAAAATGCTCGGTTTGGTAAAACGTGTCAGCAAGGATTTTAAAAACATTGATACCCTTAAAACCATATTCAATGCTCTCGTTCGCAGTAAGTTGGAGTACGCTTCAAACATATGGAACCCCATCTATAAAGTGCATTCGCATAGGATAGAACGCGTTCAGAGAAAATTTACCCGTTACCTAGCTTATCGTAGTCGCGATTTTCCCCGGGATGCTGATTACAATACTCGTCTCCTTCACTTCAAAATGACGCCATTGGCTGACCGACGCAGACTATCTGATCTTATGACACTTCATAAGCTTATCAATGGAAAATTGATTTGTACAAATCTAATTAAACAGGTGAATATTAAAGTCCCTTATCGAATACCTAGACATCCGATGGCAAAAAGCTTTGATCTCCCTCGCAACAATACTAGACTTGGTGAGTGTGCTCCTCTATACCGGTGTATGCGTACCTACAATGATTTACAAGACTGCAGTGTCGACATTTTCCACAATACTGAGCGAGTATATAAGAGGTTGTTTGTGGAAAAAATAAAATTAGACCGTAACACAGACTAAATAATATTATGATTCAGTATACCTGTTTTTCACGATGGTGTATATATTTTTTTGTTTGTTTAATCTGTCATTGTAGTTTATTTGTATTTATGTGAATGTTGTATTCACCTATTAAAAAGCATATCTTTAAGTATGGTATTTATATATTTTTTCAAATTGTAATGTAAAATTATATGTTGTTGGTGAATCTTTGTCAATAAAATAAAAAAATAAAATAAACGCGAGTGTAGGTAGATTACTCGTTTATCTCTTTTTTCATCCTAACCACTTATTTATATATTATTCCAGATATTTTGCCTGATGGAAAAACCGAAATACCTAAATATTAGAAACAAATTACGTACTAGTAGATAGGTATATAAAAAAAAATCTATAAAGGTAAGACACCTTTCCAATATTTCAGGTAATTTAAAAAATGATATCTCTGGGTGTGTTATTGAAGAGTTCAAGCAACCAAAAACAGCAATTGTGCTGTTGTACGATATTAATCGTCGCTTGTTCTTTTCCATACTAAATTATGTAGGTATCTACTTAATTAAATCAAATATTTACAATACAAAACGCACGTTTAAGCACGGCTAACTGCATAAAAAACAATTCACACCGTTTGGTCGTCGTTGCGGCGCGGCGGCGCATTCGCGACTGGGTGCCCGAACACATCGAACTCGAGTGGCGTAGGTATGACTCGCTTTCCGACCGTTTGTATGAAGATAGAATACTGTATGATATTATTACCGTGACAGTGCTAACTTTTGGGCTAGGCTAATTGAACCTGTCATTTCAACAAGGACACAAGTCCATTTAGTAATTAAAACTTTTCAGGAACAACAAAAATATGTTTGTTATAAAAAAAGTTATTGGTGGTAAAGAAAACTGAGCATAGGAGTAGTTAAATAAAAGAAATAACAAATTTTCGTGACTTGGAAAATCTGAAATGTGACACTTTGGAAATAGCAAAAGTCACATTTTTGTCCTTACTTCTCTGCCATAGTTTCATTTCATTAGAAAAGGGCATAAATCCAGGACTCGTGCCATTTATTGAAGTTGAGCAACTTTCACAGTGGTCGGTCATTGGATGGGTGACCAAAAATCTTCTATCTGGAGTTCCTCCATGGTTCGGAAGGCACATTAAGCTGTTGGTCCTGGCTGCATATGTAGTCGTTAGCACACACCAATCCACACTGGGACTGCGTGGTGGATCATGACCCAATCTCCCTATTCCATCCGTATGGGGACATTAATAGGCTGATGATGATAATGATGAATATTATTTACCTGTGATGATTGTTGTGATGGGCATATTGGTAGTACTGAAAGGACTGTTATTTCAGAAGACAATGTTCCATTCCAAGAAATCAAATATGTTGTACTATCAGTAGAACTAATCCACTGACTGTTTAGCAAACAAAGACGTGACTTATAGCCCACAGCTAGTAAGTTACTGCAAGGCGATAATGAAACTGAGCATTGGGAAAGCCAATTGGAATCTGAAACTGGTTTATATTAAAACACATAATTCTAATATTAAATACAGAAATATTGTAAATTTTGGACTCTTAACAGATGAATAAGTACATGCCTTCTTTATCTTCAATAAAAAGAGCTCTTCCCAAAGTAGAAGTATCTCCACAATCACCAATAATTTCAACTTCACATGACATTTCAATTATACCTTTTTAGGCAATTCACTTTTTTGACAAACAATTGATTGTTTGCCAGGATACGAATAAACAGTTATTTAAATCAAAAGTTTCCCTTTCTCTTGAGATGAGAAGGTCTGTTTTCTAAAGTATCACTGAAGATTACTTGGTCAGCCAGTGGTTTCGATTCTCCAATTCTATATTTGTCATTTTGTTTGTGTTGTGTGTGACCTCTGAATAACTATCATATGGAAATGTCACGAAAACAAATACAGTTTGTCTATAAAGTCGTGACATTAAATGATGGCGCCACTAGTATGCATGTAGCAACCCTCTACAGTCTGACCAAAATGATTTTGATACTAGCAGTTCATTCAAGTAAAATAGGTAATTAATAAGACACACTATACAGTCGTATTTTGTTTCTGTTTTATATATAGTAGGTACCTATGCTTATAAAAAGTTTAGCCAAGCATATTTAATTGAATCAGAATAAAATTATTATAGATAAAATAGTACTTTGAAGTGTAAAAGTGTGTAATGTTGGTGATTACCGCTGAGGTGCCATTGAGACCAGAGCCGTTAGGTAATCATCAATACACACAAGTATCATCATACGACGTTTTTTAACACACTTGTTAAGAAAATAATACTAAAAATCATTTTATAGTATATAAAAAGTTTATTTAGAGAAACAATTTGTAAATGTGCAGTTAGTAAAATTAGTGATAGGTATCTTCACTAAAAGCATCTGGCCATGGTTCTTTATGTGACCATTTCTTTCTTTGGTCGGCCTTGCCTGTTTTCCCAGGAGCTTCAAACTTTCCATCATTCTTAAAACCTTCGTTGACTATCCGACTCTCTGATTTTCCTGAAAAAAAGTTAAAAAATATGTATTGTTCAAAATTGGTAGAAAACCTGACCGAGTTGAACCATAATAACGTATCAAAAGAAATGGTCGTACTACAATATTACCTATTTACAATGTCAATGTAACCTAAAAATGTGCAATGTAAACAATGCCTTTTTTGGTCTCAAAATCGTAAATTGAGTAAATTTGTAACTTCAGGCAGATTACAAACAAAAAGTTACACGCTTACATACCCGTTATAGATGCTGTTCGCCCATAAATATTATCCAAATCCCACAAAATTCGTCCAGCTTGGTAGTCTTCGAAACATCGCTGGAAAACTTTAAATATCAATTCCCGCGTGCCACTCCGATTTACTTTACTCATTTTTATACCTTTCTGCGTAGTTTCGTCTTAATTTATTACAGTTTAATCCAAACAATAAAAAATACAAAAGGAAAACTGTTCCACAACTCAAACTCGATGACAGCTGATGTACATAAGTTTGGTGATGCCAGACACATGAATAATGTTAGTTCCTGAATAATGTTGTTATCGTTAGTAATATTATTTATTGTTGAATAATTATTAAAATTTTCGTTTCATTATAGTTTTTTTTTAATAATCTAAGTTAATTCAAACTGTGTTAAATTAAATATAAATATGGATGAAGGTACAAACATTGACTTTTTTTTTCAACACTGAACTTAGCGCACTCTGCTGGTGCATTTGAAAACTAATTCATGTTCCAATTAAGCATCAGCATAATTCGGCATTGTGCGCCACTGAGTCGCATTATGCTCTGTAATTGGAAAACCACCAATGTCAAGTGATCAGCCATTACCTCATAGAGAAAAGTAAAGGCTGATGATGATGAGTTTTCTGTTAAGGTGTTCAACGAGCCTGTGATCTTTTTGGGTGTCGACGTGACACATCCCCCGGCCGGCGGCAACAAGAAGCCGTCCATCGCGGCTAGAGCATCTATATCATATTTAGTGTGATTGCAGTGCTGAGCGGACGTGTCGAAGTTGATTTGAGATATTTTAAATATTCTAAATTTAATTATTTGGGAGCCCCGGGGCTTCGCCCTTTTTGCGGTGAAGACTCCGTTGTGATAGCTTGTATCTGAGGTGTTCATTGGTGAAGATTATAAACGGGTTTGGTTTTGTGTTCTCTGCTGGATTTGAACGTGGGACCTGCCGTGTAAGTGGTGGAGCTTTGACCGATAGGCCAAGACGACTTGGCGCTTGACGCGCAAAAGAAGGCATCTGTATCTACATGCTATAGCGGCTGAGAGCCACACTACGGTTTGTTACGACCTTCGATCAACAATTCTATACGAAGTATTGAGGTTTCGAACTTTGTTTTAGCGGCCTTTGTTAGAAATCCTATATTATTGGATACCCACATAAAAAGCACAACTGAATGTCAAGCTCAAGTGACAGTGAAATATTTTGAGTTTGATAGGTATCAAAATCAAATGACAGTTGTCATTGTCAATTTGAAGGATTGGACTGTGTTGCCACTACGTTTAATTCACCACGTTTAGTGGATTTTTTCTGCTTATTGTTTCCTGTTTTATCAATATATTCATTCTTGAGTAATCACTCCGGGTTATTGAAACTAATATATACAAGCAACAATGAACCCAAAACCAAAGAATATTTATAAATGTTCTGGTTGTTCACGGGAGCTGATTACATCTGAAAAGCTTGAGTGCGCTAAGTGCGATCTGGTGTATCATTATGAATGCGTAAATTTAGGCAAAAAGCGTTTTTTAGAACTCTCAAAGCAGCAAAAAACTTCATGGATTTGTCCTGCATGTCAAAGTAAACCACCTAGGGGTGATAATTCAGATACCCCTGTACGAGGACTGCCTACTAGTGGTGAGGAGAACAGTGATAAGTCCAATGTTACTATTCGTCGTGTCATACCTTCTGCGTCCACTGTTTCAGCCTTACCCTCTACTGTGTTTACCCTCGAGAGTATAAGGCATTAATTCAGGAGGCATCAGACGACCTGCTGGCAAAGTTGGAAAAGAGACTTACAGTTCTTATGGAAACGAAGACCAAAGAGATATTTGAAGAAATAAGTGGTCTGAAAGATTCCTTAAATTATATGAGTCAAGAACAGGATGATTTAAAAAAAGAGCTCAAAATTAGATGTGAAGAAATCAAGGAACTCTCACGTGAAAACATGCAAATGTGGGTGAAGCTGACCGATTTCAACAGTCGTATAAATGTCATGGAACAATATTCTAGAACGAGTAATGTGGAAATTCAGTGCGTACCCGAATACAAAACTGAAAATTTAGAAAACATCGTAGTTCAGTTAGGTGCTGTCACTGGTAGTGAGATCCAAATAAATAATATACACAAATGTTCCCGTATAGCAAAGTTAAATTCTGACAGTAAACGACCACGTTCAATAGTTGTTAAATTCGCAAGTCCGCTTATTAGAGATACATTTATGGCTGGTGTAATAAAGTACAATAAAAAACATGAAAAGGACAAGTTAAACACCAGTCACATCGGTATTGGTGGAGAAAGCAAACCTATCTACGTCGTGGACCATTTAACGCCCGAGATGAAAAAGCTACATGCTGCTGCCAGGATTACAAGCAAAAAATTGGGCTATCAATTTGTGTGGGTCAAAAATGGGCGTGTCTTTATGCGGAAGTCTGAATCGTCGGATCATATATTAGTTAAGAGTGCAGCTCAGTTAGATTTACTTAAGTAGAATATCATCCTTTGTTTCTAGTCTTTTATTTGATTTTTTTGTCAAAAATGAATAATGTAATTTATTACCAAAATGTAAATGGCCTTCGTAGTAAAACTATAGATGTTAAGTTAAAAATTATTAGTAATAATTATGATGTTATTGTATTTACTGAAAGTTGGTTAAACGATAGTGTGTTTGATAGTGAGATTTTTGATACTCGTTATGTAGTGTATAGAAGAGATAGAGTGCAGAAAAATAACGATCACAGAAACTGGGGTGGGGTGCTAATAGCAGTAAAAACTAGCATATCGTCGTCTCGTCAATTAGATTGGGAAAGTGATTGTGAGGATCTGTGGGTATCGTTGAATCTGAGTGTCAATGGCAAATCTGACCAATTAGCAATATGCGCCTGTAAGAAAGGAAAAACTCGATTGTTTCACTGTAAACGCGAGCAACATATTAGGTTTAGCTCACAATGTAATAGTGGTGGGCGATTTCAATATGGGTGATATCGCGTGGTCTGCTATTCCTGATATGAACTTTCTTTATCCTGCAAGTAATTGCAATTTGCATACTCAACTAATAGATTTTGTTGAGGAAAATGCTCTTAAGCAGTTCAACTCCATATCTAATGGTAATGGCAGATTGTTGGACCTCGTTTTTTCAAATTTTGGTGATCTTCAAGTGTCAGAGAATAAGAACGCTGTTAGTATCGTGGATATACATCATCCACCGCTTAACATAATTGTTAAATCAAAGAAGAATGGCACTCTTCAGAATAATGTGGAACCGAAATACAACTTTCATAAGGCAGAGTATTGTAGCATAACAAAAGAACTGGATTCCATTAACTGGAAAGAACTTTTTTCATGTTGTGTGGATATAAATGAAATGATAGGTTTATTTTATAAAAAGCTTAACATAATAATTGAGAAACATGTACCAAAATCAACACATAAAAATAAGAAATACCCTGCCTGGTTCACGAAGAAATTAATACATCAATTAAGAGAGAAGAACAAACTTAGACTAAGAGTTAAAAAATATAAAAATCCACTAGATAAAGTTGCTTTTGAATCATTGCGCAGAGAATCTGATAAATTAATTAAAGATTGTTATTCTAAATACATTAATTTGATAGAAAGTAGCATAGCTAAAAACACAAAGTATTTTTGGTCTCATCTAAAAAATATTAAACAACCGGTAAACGCATATCCGTCTAAAATGACATTAGATGATATAGTGGCTTCTGGGGGAACGGATATAAGTAATTTGTTCGCGGATTTTTTTGCGTCAATATATGATAGGTCTCCTTCTAGGGCTATTATAGTTCCGAGTGTGTCTGTAAATTCGCTTTGCAGTGTAACTTTTTCTAAGGCTGATGTTCATAAGAAGTTAAAGAGTCTGAACATACATAAAGGTGCAGGACCTGACAATTTGCCTTCGCTTTTTGTTGTCAGATGTGCAGATTCGTTATCGTTGCCCTTGTGTATGTTATATAATCAATCTCTACAGACTGGGGTATTTCCGGAGGTTTGGAAACAGACTAGAATAGTCCCTGTTTACAAGAAGGGAAAAGTAGAGGATGTAAAAAATTATCGGCCTGTATCAATACTCTGTGCCCTTTCTAAGGTTTTTGAGTTGCTTTTACATCCAGTTATATTGCGTCATGTAAACCAACTCCTCACTGAATCGCAGCATGGATTCTTACGTTCA